CAAAGTGGAGATTTGGGTTTTTAAAAAGACGGTGGAAAAAAAAAAAAAAAAAAAAAAAAAAAGTGGGGGTGGGCGGTTTCGGATATAGATCTTTGTGAAGATGCTGGGCTCAATGCCCAGTACTGGAGAGAGGAAAGGAAAAAAAGAAAAAAAGGAAGAAAGAGCCTGGAGCAGGCCAGGCAATCTGTGATAAGGCCCTGGTAAGTGCAGCGGGGTTGTCCTCACGCTCCTGGGTGGGGACAGCCACTGGCCCACTGTGCCAGGCAGCTCCTGCTGGGACATGACCTCGGGAGCTCAGCTGCTCAGTCCCCCGTGCCAGCCCTTGGTGCGAACCAGACTTTCACCACGCCCAGGGCCCTGGCTCCGAGCCCTCTGTCGTCAGCACAGGTGCAGCCTCCTCCGGGAGGCCTTTCCTGCCAGCGCTGTGCTGCCAGCTCTGGTGGGGACAGCCGAGTCACACCTACTCGCAGCCGGGTAGGGCGAGTTGTTTTTATTGTTTTTTTTTGTTTCATTTGGTTTGGTTTTTGGCTTTTTGAGACAGGGTCTCACTATGTAGTTGAGACTGACCTGGAACTCACTATGTAGCCCAGGCTGGTCTCGAACTCACAGCGATCCTCCTGCCTCAGCCTCCCGAGTGCTGGGATTACAGGCGTGTGCCACCACGCCTGGTGAGATGTTTTTATTGGAAACGGCCTTCAGCTGGGTGAGGACTCATGTCTCTAGGTGGGGTGGGAGTGACTAATGCCCACCAAACACCTGCTTGGTTCCGCCCTGGCAAAATGCTTTACAAACAGCCTCGTTGGTGGTCACACACAAGGGTCTGAGGCCCAGAGAGTCTGATCAAATGGCTTGTAGCCACACAGCTGGGATGATAGTGTGAGGATCTGAATGGGGGGTTTGGATGCAAAGCAAATACCCCTTACACTGCACCTTCGACAGGCACTTCCAAGCCCTGAAATCTGATGGCCTAAGGGACACAGCAGGGACTCAGGAGAGACTCTGGTGTGTGCGGCTACCAGGACCTCCTAGCAGCGCACTCCTTGGCTGCCCTCACGCTGCTCCTGGCATACGGTCCCAGCTTTGCACCAGTCTCTGCCCTCCTGTCTGCCTCACCCACGCACTCTTGCTCATTGCTCATTCTGTTCCAGACCCACTGGCCTTTGCAAATGCTACTGAAACAGGCTCAATTCTGTGTGGGGCCTTTGCATGTGGCAACTACCTTTTTCTTTTCTCTTTTTGTTTTTTGTTTTTTGAGACAGGGTCTCACTATGTAGTTGAGACTGACCTGGAACTCACTATGTAGCCCAGGCTGGTCTCGAACTCACAGTGATCCTCCTGCCTCAGCCTCCCGAGTGCTGGGATTACAGGCGTGCGCCACCACGCCCGACTATGACTGCTTTGTTCTTGTTGCTTATGCTTCAGATAAAATGTCCTCTTCTGAGAGTGGCTTTTCCCGACACCCAGCCTAAAGCCACCCCTTTCGGCCCCTTTCCCCTTTGTCCCATGTCTGGGGACCATGGCGACCCTTCCTCCCCTTTCTGTGTAGCACTCAGTCTGCCTCCATCCCCTGGTTTTGCTCGCCCTGTCTGTCCAGAGTCTGGACAATGCCCAGCCCATGGCAGTGCATCCAGAGAGCTGCCAGCTGTGCCCCTGGGAGTGGACACTGGTGCAGGGGGCCGAGGCAGGAGGGTGAAGCTCAGGGCAGAGCCCGAGGTTGCTGCCAATGCCCTGAGGACAGCAGAGCAGGGACTCCCTCAGGACCATGGCCTCTGGGACCGTGAAGGCCTTCTCCTTTAGCCTGACACCAGGGACATGAAGATGATGAAGGGGCAGTTCGGCTTCCAAGGGGGATTTCCCTTCTGGTGTCCACTCACTGCCCTGATACCCACCTTGAGGCAGCCCTGGCTCGCATACCTTGACAGGACAGTGCTCACTACCTCCTGGATGGCCGTGCCACTCCTGGGTAGTTCTGGCTTCACGACGTCCAGCCTGCGTACCTGCTGTCACTCTTCCGCCGGGTGACCCATGTAATGAACTGCGCCGGCTCCTGGGGCCCCTTCCGGCCAGCTGACCAGAAGCTCCTCTTTTCCATTTGCCATCTTTCTCAGTTCAAGTGCTGTGGTGGAGAAGACTACCGAGACTGGAGCAAAAACCAGTACCACGACTGCAGTGCCCCTGGGCCGCTGGCCTGCGGGGTGCCCTACACCTGCTGCATCAGGAACAAGGTAGTTCCGCTGCCTGCGGGGTGGGGACACAAGGCCGCCCTGCTGATCAGGTGCTGCTGAGGATGGGGATGTGGTGGGGAGGATCGGGGACAGGCAGGCAGGAGGTAGCAGCCGAGCCTTCGGGGCTCCTTCACGGAGGGCTCAGGGGTGTGGCGTGGGGGCCTTGTCTGTGAGTGGGGTCGGCCAGCATCTACTGAGCTCCCGCCGGCCTGCTCCAGGCCCTTGGCTTTACTAACTAACTCAGACCTTACAGTGACATGGGAGGCAGCGGCTATTAATTTGCCCACGTTACAGATGAGGCGATCGAGTCATGGAAAGGTTAGGTATCTTCCTGAGGTTGGCACGGCCAGGATGAACTGCAGACAGCTGCTGTGGCCCTGTTCTTTGCAGGGGAGGCAGAGAACAGCAGCTTCCAGGCCCGGAGCTCTGCAGCACAGGCTCGGGCAGAGCAGGACCTGCACTTTGGGTGTCTCCTGTGATCCCCAGAGCCCAGCACCCAGGAGCAGGGGTCTGGTGACGTAGATGTCAGCCTCTGCCTCTCCCCAGCTTGGCTCTCGCTGTCACCTGCTTAGTCACTCGGGATGCTGTCTGTGCCCTCACCACTCTGTCAACCCTTGTGTGTAACTCGCAAGCAGAAACTGCCTGCTCACTGGCATTAAATGAAGCAGAAAGCCACGCAGTTACTCACGCCCCAGCAGTCATGGAAAAAGTTTCCATGCTGACATCTCTGCCACGCGGTGCCCAGTGCCTGAGTCTGTAAACCCAGCAGCTGCAGTGGGGCCTCACCCAGGAGGAGGGAGCAGGGCCAAGTGCACTCGCCCTAAAAAGGCTGGGTTGGAGTGAGCTTGTCTGGAAGCTCTAGCTGCCATTTTAAGATAGGTCTCTGGGCCAGAGTGCTGGGTGGGAGCCCCGGCTTTCAGGGGGCTGCAGCAGATGGTCCCGAACTTTCACACTCGGGAACAGCACTGAGTGTCAGGCTGATATGGAAGCCCAACTTGTATCATTCATTCATTCAACAGATCTGGTTGAGGGTCTGTTATGTGCCAGGCACGTTTGTAGGTTGCAGGGTACAGCAGGCACACGATGTCTCTGCCCACATGGAAATGACATTATAGTGGGGAAAGCGGGCAAAAGGAAGGAGGAAAAGAGAGTGTGTAAGAAGTGAGTAAATGCCAAGGAGAGGAAGTAGAGGCACAGAGCATTGCTGCTTTCCATAGCTGGGTTCTGAAGACAATGAGGGAAGGAGCCACTCAGGTGTCTGGGGCCAGGGTATTCCTGGCAGAGAGAATGGCAAGGGCAGAGGACCCGGGGGAACTGCCCGGCCTACTTGAGCAACAGCACAGAGTCCAGTGAGGCTAAAGCAGGCTGAGCTTAGGGAGCTCCATGGGGCATCAGGGGGAGGTGTAGTGGGAGGTCACGGGTGTCCTGCAGGCCGTGGGCGAGACTCTCGTGTTCCCTTGAACGGCAGAGGGTGCTAACGCCGAGACACTGGTTAGTGAGCAGAAGGGCCAGTGGGCGGGCAGGGCCGGAAGCCAGGCGGGGCAGGGGCACATGTTGAGCAACCGTTGGGCAGCAGTTGGCGGGAGCCTCGGCTCAAGCAGTGAGGCGATCCCTCCACGCTGTCCTGTACTGGGGCGAGGGAGCTGTGCCTTCGTGGTCCTGCATTCAGGTTCAACGCACGAATGGATGGAGGGCGTGGACGCCCTGTGCCCATCGATCCCTCCCGCACCTGCTCCCAGACCCAACCCTCTCCAGAGGGCCAGGTTCATGGTCCGTAAGGGCCACAAACACTCACGGACCTGGTGCCACTTGGACACTGGGTGTCGCTGCATCTGAGGGCAGCTGAGGGGAGGTCTTGGAGGAGGGACTTACAGAGCCCCGGCATGTAGAGTGACCTGGATGGCATCTGAGGCCCAACTTCCCCTTGCTCTCCAAGGACTGGAGTCATGAACAATGTCACCCCAGCCGGTGCCTTTCCTTGTGCCTGGCCCTGAGGAAGCGTGCTGCATGCGGACCTCACTTGATGTCCCAAACAGCCCGTGAGATGGGTTCACTGACTGTCCTGAGGCAGTGAATGAACACTCAGTCCCTGCACAGCTGCTTCTCAGGGGTCCCCATGTGCTGCTGCCTCGGTGGCTGACTGAGGTTAGCACAGGTCTCTTGAGTGGCAGAGCCGGATCTGGATGCAGGAGGTGGATGCCAGAGGCCACAGTGGCCTCAGCTGTCCTATGCCATTAGGGATGCCTGTGGCCCCCAAGCTTGGGTCCCAGGTGTTCCTTCGTAAGATGCAGTATTGTGGGAAGAGTGTGATCATGAGAGCAGAAGAGTGGCTTGGGACCAGACCCCGCTGGGGACCCAGGGCAGCTTGCTTTTCTCTGGGTTTCTGGGCTGCTGCTGGAGGAGGGGGAAGTGAAGACACACGTGGTGTGTTAACTGTTGTTTCTATTTCAGACGGATGTCATCAACACCATGTGTGGCTACAAAACTATCGACAAGGAGGTAATGTCTTTGAAATCCTCTGACCCCAGAAACATTGGTGCTACTGCCCCAAGCCTGGGATGGGGCATGGGGGATTTCCAAGGTGACTGCACTGGGGCCGGAACTCCTGCCACAGGAGGGCTTGGGGAGCTTGGAGAGGCCACCTGCCATGCTCTGCTGAGTGCCTCGTCCAGGCTTGTCCCTTTGAGGCCACTGTGGCTCCTGACAGGACCCCCAGCATGCTGTGTGCCCAGCCTAGCTCAGCCCCAGCCAGCCTCTGCCCCTGGGGTCACCAGTTGGCAGATAACCCATCTGCTTTCCTCCAGCTGGGACCCAGGAGTTCCTGTGCGGCCAGCCTGGCTTAGGGGAGAAGCTGGTCTATGCTGGGAAAGGTGGGCTGAGAGGCCTCAGAGCACTGGTTTACAAAGTGGGGTCTCTCAGCCAGCCCCACAGCACCCTGCAGGAATGCCTTAGAGTGCACACGAGCTCACGTTCAGCTCAAGATTTGCAACCAGCAGTGTGCCAGCCCCCAGAGCTGATGCTGGCTTGTATAATAGTGCTTCTTAATGACCTATTTATTATTGCAAAACGAAACCTACACAACGTGCAACTCCATGACAGATTTAACACATAACAGCTCAGGCTGTTAGATGTGGCAGAAGACAGTGAAACAGTGTTTGCACCGAGCAGGGGATCCCGAGACTCTGGCACCATTCCCCCCCCAATACAGGGGGTCATGTTGGTGACTGTTTACCACAGGGATCCTTTTGTCATTGACATGGTCTTTTTAAAGTGGTGATCAAGAGCTAAAGATAGTCCCAGCTACTCAGGACGCTTAGGCAGGAGAATCACTTGAGCCCAGGAATTTGAGGCCAGCCTGGGCCACATGGTGAGACCCTGTATCAGTCAGTCAGCCAGTGAATAAAATATATGACCAATTCTTTTTTTTAGTACTGGGGATTGAACTCAGGACCTTGCACTTGCGAGGCAGGCAGCAGAACCACTGAGCTAAATCCCCAGCCATTAACCAATTCTTGATAAAGGCCTCTGATCAGAAAACAGATTGAATCTTCCATATCTGAAATGTTTGGGACCAAAGTGTTTTGGATTTCAAATTTTTTTGGTGAGAGTTCTAGAATATTTGCTCATTCATAATAAAATATCTTGGGGATGGGACCCATGTCACAACATGAAATTCATTTATGTTTCATTCATATGCACCTTTTAATACACAGTTTTCATACACAATTTTTAATCATTTTGTGCATGAAACAATTTTATGACATGAAATCTTCTACTTGTAGCATCACAGCGAGGCTGAAAAACTTTCAGTTTTTAGAGCATTTCAGATTTTGGGTTAGGGATACTCAGCCTATAAGATTATTCCTTCATTTACACAGTAGTGGGTCTGGAAAGTTTGTTGTGTATTCAAACAGTGTAGAAAACATTTTATTTTACCTTGCCTGCAGTTAGTCACACTTTCCGCTTGGGATTATGGATTGTTTTTTTCACCCACACCACAGTTGTCTGTGGGCGGGGGATGCCCGGGCCCCTCAGGCCCTCAGTCCCCAGCGCCAGTCATTGGGACAGCCCGAGTGTCACCGTCATGTCCCCACGCTCCCGGTACTCCGGGTCGCGTGTGAGTGTGGGGCCTAGTCCGGCTCCTGCCGACCGGTCCGGCTGACCGGCCCCTTCTGTGCAGCGCCTCAGCGTGCAGAACGTCATCTACGTCCGGGGCTGCACCAATGCTGTGCTCATCTGGTTCATGGACAACTACACCATCATGGCGGGGCTCCTGCTGGGCATTCTTCTCCCCCAGGTGGGCACCTGGACAGGGTGGGAGGAGACGGCTGGGGTGGGCGCTGGAGGGGCCCGGGATTTCCGGGAGGTGCAGGCTGGGCTGCGTGGGTCTCCCAGTGCCCGGAGGGCTTCCTGGCTGCTTGCATTTCTGGGGCCTGGGAACTGCAGGAGGCCTCCCCAGGCACACAGGCCCTCACCAGTGGTGCCCTGACTTTGCAGTTTTTGGGGGTGCTGCTGACGCTCCTGTATATCACCCGAGTGGAGGACATCATCACGGAACACTCTGTCACCGACGGGCTCCTGGGGCCTGGCACCCATCCCAGCGTGGAGGCGGCGGGCACAGGGTGCTGCATGTGCTACCCCAGTTAGGGGCCTGCGTGGGACAGTGGCTCCAACAGGACTGTGTCAGGAGGCAGCGCTTGGTCTGCTCAGGCTGGCGGGGCTGCGCTGTGGCCCCTCTGCCCGCACGGTACTGGCCAGGGCCCATGGCCCCTGCCCCCGGGGGTGGCTCGAGCCTCTCCTAAGAGGCTTCTCCAGTTCTGAGTGCTCCAGATGTTGTGCCCACACTGCAGGGCCTGTGGACCCTGCGTCCCTGCTCCAGGCCTGGGCTGTGGAGTGAAGGGGAGCTGAGTGCCTGGCTCCGGCCCATTTTATTTCCAGCAGTGCCTTGGCCGTGGTTGTTGTGCCCCCCGGAGGGCAGTTTTTCAGTGATTTGTAAGTGGAGAGAAGACTATGCAGCTCTGCTCCCTCGTGCCCTGGCCATGCCCCAGGCACCCGGGCAGGCCGTTTCTCTTGTGCCTTGAGCCCCTTGCAAGGGCTGCTGCTCTGCTGACCCATTTTCTACATGATTTTTGTAACATTTGTATTTTGTATACATTAACAGGAGTTTCTGACTATCCAAAGCCAGACAATGCCCCACACACTCCTCTTGCCCCACCAGTCAGTTCATTAATCAAACAATAAAGACGTGATTGTTTTTCTAGTTTTGGCTTTTTGTGTGTGCTGTTTTGGTGAGGAGGGAGTGAGCAAGGCCTCCACTTGGACTTGAAAGCCCTTTAGTGCAAGGATTGAAGAAGGGCCACTCTGAGGTGAAGGTCTGGGGCAGTTTGGAGCACCAGACCAGGGAACATCTCAGCAGGAGGCACAGGTGATAACCCCTTTCACAGACTGAGAAACTGAGGCTGAGTGTTGTGTGGCACGAGGCCCCGTGATGGGGAAGCTGGACAGCCAAGGCTCTGGGAAGGAGCCACAAACACACCTGTGTGACTGCAACAGTAAGCCACGTGCAGTGCCCGACACAGGCGCCAAGCAAAGCTTCGGGCTGATCGCCCCCTGCTGGCGGTGGCAGGACTTGCGTGGACCAGTCCTCCAAGCTGCCTAGCCCCAGACGTGGCTTGTAGATTTTCTTAAAAGGTAGGGTAGTAGAAATAAAATAGCATGAGTCCCAGACCTGAGGCCAGGGGTTTGGCTCAGTAGTTCCACCACTTGCCTCATAAGCACAAGGTCCTGAGTTCTATTCCTGTTACCCTCCCCCGCAAAAGTCCCAGACCTGAAGAACTCAACACCAGGATGGGAATAGCCCCAAACATCCAGAAGTGACGTGGTTGAGTGCTTGATCACCCCAACTAGTTTTGGTCACTCTTATTATCTTCATTTTGATGATGGGGAAACTGAGGCACAGGGTGGTTAAGTAACTCACTAAGGCATCATGGCCAGTCCTGCAGCCCCTCTGCTTCATGGCCTCTTGTTGCCTTGTGTGTGTGTGTGTGCTACTAAGTGTGCAAAACCTTGGGTGGCTGGGGTAGTGCTCCCCAAGGGGCATCGTCACAGCCACTGATGCGACACCAGGTCAGGCTGGGCTGTGAGCTGGTGGCCTCCTGGCTCTGGGGCTCTGACTGTTCTCTGAGGATTCTCTGTGTGCCCAGAGGGGAGAGGGCAGCTGCCTTTGGAAGCAGCAGAACAGCACAGGCAGTGAGAGGGCCTGGGACAGCTGAGAATCTGCTTGTGGAGGAGGTCGTGTTACTTTGGAACCTGGGGACCAGGTCACCTCACCTTGTCCTCTCTCCACTGCTGTTGCAGACGCCTCTCCGATGCTGCCCTGGACAGCTGCGTCTGTGGACCGGGGCTCAGTGGGTGCCCACTCCCAATGGCTGAGCGCCCACAAATGCATCTCCTCTCTTCCTTCCAACCTGCAGCCGCTCACCTCTCAGGGGAGTGAGATGGGCAGAAGGGGAGGCTTTGGACTCCCCCGAGATTGTGCCCTTTTGTGCTTCAGTGCCAATGACAGCACAGTGCCATCTTGTCTCACAAGGATGGCGGTATGGCCCTCAAAATGAGTCCTTTTCCAGCACCATAGCACACTTAGGAAATGGCAATATTTGGTACTTGGCAGCTTAGTGAAACCCACATCGAAATTAAAAAAAAAAAAAGGTGGGGATGTAGCTCTGTGCAAAGGCATTGGGTTAAATCCCTAGTAATGCAAAAGAGGAAAGAAGAAAGGCAGTGAGGAGGCGGGGATTGGTGGTGGGGTGAGGTGAACTATCTGGCTTTCCTGTGGTGTGGGGACCTCAGGATGCTGGTGAGCTGTGTCCTCCTGATCTTTGCAGCAACAGTTTATACTCTGGGTGGCCCCTCTACTGCCCATGGTCAGTCAGGCAACACCTGCCTTTCATCTTGCTGCGCATGGTCTCTTCACCTGTAGTGGTCCAGAGTCACTCTGTTCCAGAGAAGGGGCCTGGGCTCCCTGGGGTGAGGACTGTGCCTAGGGTGCTCGTCTGGTAAGCACTACTGCCTTGGTCACACGTCTGACTCCAAGGCCCTTGCTCCCTGCCTGGTATTTGAGTTCTATCGACCACTGCAGCTAAAGCTCCCATCCCTGCTCCTGTATGCAGGGTCTTGGACTGACCCAGGTCACTCTCAGCTCAGAGATCGTGCCCTCAATCCTTCCACACCCTCCTCCCTGTTTACTGGGAGTTTCATTCCAGCTCTATGTATGGGGAGATTTATTGTATGGTCACCCATTTTGCAGATGAGGGAAGCTGAGGCAAGAAGATTTCAATTTTAAGCCCCATCTTGGCAGCTTAGCAATACCTTATTTCAAAGTAAAAAATACAAAGGGCTGAGGATGTAGCTCACAGTGAAGGGCCTGAGTTGCATCTTTAGTGGGGAGAAAAAATGCCAAGAGGCTCTGCCAGGAATCCCTGAGCCTGGATCTTTTCAAGCCTTTGCCCTGACTACCACTCTTCTGGGTCTAGTCCAATAGCTTTTGCCACGGGGTCTGATTTCTTACAGCCACAGCCTGTGGGTCCTTTGAAGGGGCCCGCAATTACAATCCTGAGAGCCCCAGAAAGGCTGGAGAAAATGTGCAGAGCTGACATGGCAGCATATGTCCACCAGGTGGCGATGCCCGCCCGCTGATCAGAGCTCCCGACCCTGCTCCTCTAACCCCAAAGAGCAGACCACAAAACAAGGAGGACTAAAACTGTTATATGTGCATGTACATAGTAGGCATTTAATAAGCATCTGTTGAATGAAGGCATGTCGACTCCGGGAAGCAGACAAATGAAGCGGTTGTATAGACTGAGGAGCAGAGGCTGGATGTGAACTACATAATAACCATTGGTCTCTGGGCTATCGTTAAGTCCTTCTGTGCTGGACACTGTGCTTCGTATATGTTAGTTTTCATTGATTTAGGCCCCTGTTGGTCCAGTGCGGCCTCCCCACTAACAGGGCCAGCACGAGTTTAGCCAGGTATCAGGTGACCACCAGGGGGAGGCCTCTGCCTCCAGACAGCCATGAGGACTGTCCCTACCTGGCCGGGTCCTCCCGAGGACCACATGGGACAGTGTGTGGCAGGTCCGTGTCCCCTACAGGGGCCTGGTGCCCTCTCCCTGCCCCTCGCGCTGAGGCACCACAGCCCCGGACAGCAGTCTGGGGATTGCTGGGGATTGCCTAGCGCATTCCGCTTGCTTCTGTGCTGGGACAGGGATCTGACCAGCTATGAACTCTGCTGTCTCCTGAGTGTAGTCGGTGGCACCTGGGCCATGACAGTGCTCGCTAGGCAGCCCTGGCCTGGAGCACATGGTGCTTGTGTGGCTGGGCCCTGGGACACGCTGGGCCCTTTGTATCCCGTCCTTGGTCCTCAGGAGGCCGGGCGCATCTTGTGGCTTGTCATCTCCACTCCGAGTGAGGATTGCAGATGTGCTGGCCCAGGGGTGGCCATGCCAGATGCCAGGATGCCCTTTAGTGCACCTGCGGTCCCACTATGCCAGCACTGCCCTCTTGTTCCTAAGTCCTCCCCTGCATCGCCGAAGTAAGCATGTGATGGCTGCAATATCCAGTGAGCACCGCAGAGAAACCCCCAAAACCTTAAAACATCTGTGTCGGCTTAGGAAGCTAAGTCTGGGCTGGAGGCAGATTTTGTCCTGGCTTCTGGCAAAGACCCGACTAAGACACCATTAGTGAGGGCCTAGGGCCCTTCTGCTAGACTTTGGCTGAGCTCCTGTTGTGGACGTGGGCTTGTCTGGGAAGCTCTGGACCTTCTGAAGCCTTTGTACTGTTCAGGAAGCCAGAGCGGGACATAGCCTACAACACCGATGAGAGCCACTTGTCAGAGAGGGCGCTGGGAGCAGGGACAGCTCCCAGCAGACCAGTGCAGCCACAATGCACCTGGGCCATGTCACCTGGAGGGTTGGAATGAGTCTCATGCCCACAAGAGACATCAGCAGATGGAGAACATCTGCTGGGGACAGGGCTCAGCTGGACCCACATTCTCCACAGACTATCTGAGATCCAGATTTCATCTTATCATCACTGTAGCTCTGGTGCCCCACAAGACACATAGTAGATGCTCAATAAAGATGCAAAAAATATGTGACTCTAAGCATAGCCTTCCTTAGCAGTAATGTCTACTGGCAAAATTAGAATATTTGTACTTCAGGCCTCCTTATGACATAGGAGAGAATACTACTTTGCTAAATAATGACCATTCATGGCAGGAGAGAGTGGTCAACAAATAATATAGTAGCTGAGTTAAAATTTTGGTATTGGATGCAATGAATAGTAGATTTGAAAGTATAGAAATCAAATGCAAGATACAAAGGACTGGATGAAGAAACATTCCCAGGGTGCAAAGGGAAAGGATATAAGGAGATATCTCTGAGAACTACAAGGACAAGGGCCACAGGAGTCTCCATGTCTCCAGCAGGCACACTCACCGGTAATAAAGAGATCAGAATCAGTAATCAAAGTTATAAGGAAGGAAAGACTTTTCCTCTTCGGTGCTAGGGACTCAACTGCTTGTGCTGGGCGAACACTTTACCACTGAGCTACATCCTCAGCCCGGAACTCTTCATTGGAAAAAGGAAAAAGACCCATGAAAGTTAAAAATGTTCAAGTTGGATGGTGGTTCTCCCCAGTTTTCTCAGTGCTTAGAAATAAGGCAATAGTACCTTGAGCTCCTTGGGTAACGAACGGGAGGAGGCTGCTAGGGCCCTGGGCTTAAGGGCCCTGGGAGTCGGTCATGAGAATCTATCGCAGTGCTGCTTGCAAGAGTGAAGAAGGGGAGCTTCCTACTTGTTTGCTGGAAGAGGAGTGAGCAGAGAAACAGTGGGGCTGTTCCTGCAGGGGAGTGCTACGTGGTGCTTTAAATGCTGAGAGGAAAAGCTAATGTGAAAAGATCCCCAGAGAACAGGATGTCATATATTTAAATCTGGAAATGTATGTCACTAGGGATGTCTGTAGAAGAAAGAAAAGCACAAAACTAAGGACTGGGAGGAAAGACATCAAATTCACTAGGTTGAAGAGAACAAGAGCAGTGGAACCTGATGAGAATTGACCTTGATAATTAATTCACCTGTATAACTTTCTTCAAAAATTGGAAATGTTCAGCTGTGAATGTTTGTCCCTTCAGGGTATCCTTAGATGAGAATGTCTGTCATGCTCAGTAGATTTCTGTACTTTGGTGGGGCGTGTT